CTAGTATGGTATAATACAGCTCATTGATTAATAGTATGGTATAATACAGCTAATTGATTAATAGTATGGTATAATACAGCTAATTGGTTAATAGTATGGTATAATACAGCTCATTGATTATTAGTAAAGTCTAATACAGCTCATTTATTAATAGTATGGTATAATACAGCTCATTGATTAATAGTATGGTATAATACAGCTCATTGATTAATAGTATGGTATAATACAGCTAATTGATTAATAGTATGGTATAATACACCTCATTGATTAATAGTAAAGTCTAATACAGCTCATTGACTAATAGTGTGGTCTAATGTAGCTCATTGATTAATTGCATAGTTTACAGCTCGTTGATTATATGCACCTACCGTAGAAATCGATGGAACGAAACAGCAGAGGTGCCAAGAAACCGCCCAACGCTCCGTAGGACATGTGTTTCGGGACGTCCGGCGAGTATACGGGATGATCTATAAGTCCGGGCGTCACCTGCAGTGTGTTCAGGTAGTCCACGAAGAACGCATTAGCAGGCGTCATGTCGTAGCTCCACTGTTCGTGCTTGACGCCGCCTGTGTATTCGCGCTTCGTCTCTTCACGACGAAATTTGTTGAGACTCACAAAGTTCTCGAAGAACGTGTTCTCGGCAGCGACGTCAAACTGCAATTATAATCACGTGTTAATTAGATTAAATTAGACATTCGTCGCCGAGCAATTGATGAGTGGTTAGATTCTGGATTCGTTTATAAGTACAGGTAGGTGTTTTTAATGATTAAATATACTTGAAGCGATAGGCTAATAAACTATGCTAGTTATACTATTTGACAGATGAATACAAGACGTGTAGACGGATAAGTTTAATGGTCGATATGCATAAACCGAAAAATAAAGAACGATTTAATAAGAATAATTATAATGCAAATATACACTTGCGATAGCTTTCCAAGATTTCACATTTTATCCGATTATACGACCACGTAAGATTTTAAGAGTCAAACCAACCACGCTGTAAATGTCGTTCATTATAGAGTCGTCCATGTAATAATCCGGGTATCCTATTCTCTTGGTTATGCTTTTCACCTGAAACTCAGTTTACGTAATAATGTCTACACGTGGTGCGTGAGTCAACACAGAAACATCAGAATATAAACACACATAGAGATATATTAAAATGATCCAAATTATTAGAATAATTAGAATAGCGAGCAAGATATCGGAATTACCAATCATAGGTAAATCATTTTGAGGATGCCCGCTCAGGCGGGCACTATTGTTTCATAGTACCTGCGACGTTATCCAATGGAATTTCAACGATTTATCATGTGATGCACTAAATGTATTTAGTACATATAGTTAGTAGTACATTCGTATTAAAGGGATAGAAATTAATCGGCATTTTTGTTATCACGATGCACTCTCGGTTTGGTTCATAACCACGCCCACCGATGATCGAATGTTTCAACGTTCATTCTACAGCACGTTGCAACATTTAGTAGCGCCAATAATACATTCCCACGCAGATACGCACCAATAATGATTACTATAGGTTTTGCACCCATGGTAACCTCGAGTGAAACGGGGTACATAAACGTGTAGTTCCAACGGCAAAAGCGCCTATTCCTATGCTATTCAACTGTCATTGTTATTCGGCAACATAATCTAAAAACACAATTTCGTGCTCTCAATCAAACACTCTCAATAAACTGCTATAAGTAGAATTTGGTCGTTACCCACTTCCCATAATACCAGTAAAGATATAATTCCAGAGAAACACCACGTAGTATCCATACATTCACTAAGCGTTCCTCCACAGCAAACACATCTTTTATCAACGTGTCAATCCGCTCCAATTTCTCGGTCTCACTCCAGGGGGCGTTCCAGTCGCGCATAATCAGCAAAGTTACGTTAGCGATGAACCATTTGTAGTACTCTTCCTAACAACAAAAGTCGGTATAAATGTACTTTATAGATCTCCCATGGTATATGATTTTTGTATTTACTGATATTTACTAAGACCCGCCTTTTGTCTCTTATGTTTTGCCCGTTGTTGGTGGTTTCTTACATTTATATACCTATTTTGGCACGTATTTCGCTCAATTTGCCTCGATTAGAGCCATGATTAAATCCACGACCACAAGTACTTCTAATAAACCTATATATATATATATATATATATATATATATATATATATATATGTATGTATGTATGTATGTATGTATGTATGTATGTATGTATGTATGTATGTATGTATGTATGTGTGTGTGTGTGTGTGTGTGTGTGTGAGTGTGTGTGTG